ACCCCCCGCCCCGGGGCTGGCGGTGGCCCCCGGCGACCCCCGGGGAAGAGGAGGAGGAGGAGGAGGAGGAGGGGAGGGAGGGGGGAGGAAGGAGATCCCCCCCACACACACACACACACACCACCACCCTTCCTCCCCCTCGTGCGACACGGGGAGACCCCTCGGGCGAGGGGAGGCCTAGCGCGAGGGCGGCGAGGGGAGCGGGGAGGCCTCGTGCAAGGGCGCCTCGTGCAAGGGCGCCTCGTGCAAGGGCGCCTCGTGCAAGGGGAGCGGGGAGGCCTCGTGCAAAGGGGCCTTGTGCAAAGGGGCCTCGTGCAAGGGGAGCAAGGAGGCTTCACGCAACGGCTCCTCGTGCAAGGGCTCCTCGTGCAACGGGAGCGGGGAGGCCTCGTGCAACGGCTCCTCGTGCAACGGCTCCTCGCGCAAGGGCTCCTCATGCAACGGGAGTGGGGAGGCCTTGTGCAACAGCTCCTCGTGCAAGGGCTCCTCGTGCAAGGGCTCCTCGTGCAACGGGAGCGGGGAGGCCTCGTGCAACAGCTCCTCGTGCAAGGGCTCCTCGTGCAACGGGAGCAGGGAGGCCTCGTGCAACGGCTCCTCGTGCAACGGCTCCTCGCGCAAGGGCTCCTCGTGCAACAGGAGCAGCGCGGCCTCGTGCAAGGGCTTTTCATGCAAGGGCTCCTCGTGCAACGGGAGCGGGGAGGCTTCGTGCAAGGGCTCTTCGTGCAACAGTTCCTCGTGCAACGGGGGCGGGGAGGCCTCGTGCGACGGCTCCTCGTGCGACGGCTCCTCGTGCACCGGCTCCTCGTGTGATGGGAACAAGGAGGCCTCGTGCAACGGCTCCTCGTGCACCAGGACAGGGGGTGGCCTCGTACATCAGCTCCTCGTGCATCGGGGTCCTCGTGCGATGGGGGGCGGGGAGGCTTCGTGCACCGGCTCCTCGTGCAACAGCTCCTCGTGCACCGGGACTGGGGCGACCTCGTGCACCGGGAGCGGGACGGCCTCGTGCAACCGGGACTGGGCTGGCCTCGTGCACCGGCTCCTCGTGCACCAGGATCAGGGCGACCCTCGTGCGGCGGCGGCGTTTGTCCTCGTGCATCAGGATCACGGCGGCTTCGTGCAACGGGATCGGGGCGGCCTCGTGCAACGGCTCCTTGTGCACCAGGACCGAGAATCCCTCGTGCGACACCTCCCCGTGCACCAGGACCAGGCCAGCCCCCCCCTCCCCCCCACACCTCCTTTCCTCCT